AGCCCTCGGGCCTGGACGACGGGAGCAGTAGGTGGCTTCCCATGGGCTTTGTGTCCTGCTTACTGCTTGCACGAGCCCCGGTTTGGGGACCTCGCCAAGATGCGTGTGCCTAGCAGGACACGTGTTGTCCTGTCCTGCTGCTGGTGTGGTCCTCTAGTCGTTCTGAGGGGACCATCCGGTGCGGGATCCCGCAGTGAGGCGCACGGGACCCTGCAGGCAGCGTGGGGGACGTGCTGCCGGGGTGGCTACGGGGGACAGGTCGCACAGCTTGCAACACGCAAGTCCCAGCTTGCGAGGGCCTGGGCCAAGCTGCCTCCTCCCGGGGCCTGGGGCGCGGGCGAGCGCCGAACACCTCCCCTCGCAGCGGGGGCGAGGATGGGGAACCTGTGCAGATTTTCCCCATCGTAAGAAAACCAGTCCGTACTCAGAAACGGCAACGCAGCCTTAGGAGCGGAGTTGCCAGCGGGGAAAGTAGTTGCTGCCTCTTAATCGAGCCCCTGCTTGTTGCCATCGCAGCAGAAGGGGGGGACTCTGCTCTGGGCTCTCCGGCTCTGCACCTGCCAAAGGCATCCGACACAGGGCAAAAGCCCCAAATGGCTTTGTGATCCCAGGCAAGCCGGATAGGGAGCCTCTGTTGTGTCCCGCCTGCGGAGGCGGGGGCTGGAGGAATTCCTCCCGGAAGAGGCAAGCAGGAGCTGAGGAAAACTGCTCCGTCTGGGGTTACTGCTGAGTATCTGTCCCTGTCCACCCCTGGTAGGGGACACAGGCAGGACCTGGCTTCCTCTGCAGTGTCTGCTGGCTTCTCGCTCTGCCGGGTGCTCTGGACCGTGCCCGTGCTTTCTCAGGAGCTTTCCATTGCTCATCTGTTTTTATTAACCCTTGTCTCAGAACTTGCTCTGGCGCTGAACTCCCACACCCGTTCTGCTTTCCTCACAAGCAGGCTCTTCTTAACGTCGTCTTCTGGCTGCTGAAGACTCCTATGGCTCGAGTTGGTGCTCCCCACCTGGACCTGCGGCTGAGGGTGCTCCCCTGTCTTGTGCTGCTCCAGACCGTGCAGGGCATGACTGCCCCACCGGAGACCTCACCGGCTCAAACAGCCTCGGCGCTTGCAGTAATGGCAAGAAATGCAGGCATTGGCGTTCAGCTGGAAGACTGGTCTCCGTGAGGGTTCGGCTGTTCGTTAGCCATGCTAGCAAACGAGGCCACGTGGTGCAGTGTCTGCGTGTGTGGGTAGGACCGAGGTGCTTGGCTTTTCTCGTCCCCTTTCGGCACCCTGCTTGTGAGGTGTGGGCCAATTTCTCCAGCCTGCTATGGCCCCTGGAAAATTCACGGTACCTGGAGGATCTCGGAGCTGCTGTAAAGCTGCTTCCTCCCTCTTTGGAAGAAGGGAGAAGGAGCGTTCTGGGTAGGAGGTCTGAAAACAGGAGCCGCTGCTAATTGCCTGCAGCATTTCTCTGCTTAATGGAGTGGAGAATAGAGCTCACTGCCATTCCCTGGCTTCCTGCTCAGCGCTCGATGCAGGGCTGAGGGTCTGGGCTCTTGTGGCTGTAAGCCAAGCCCTACTGTGTTGCCCAAGCCTGCGTGAGCTGCAACCTTGCAATGGAGGGCATGGCTGCTTCTGCCTGGGGTAGCTCGCCTTGGA